GATACGATTGTCCCAGACTCCCCGTGATGGCTTCCATGCTGGTGATCCCGTGCGCCACGGTGGCTGCGCTCCGAGCCCCGTCTGCTTGCCGCAGTTGAAGCACGTCTTGCGACCTTTCCACGTCCACTTGTACTCGCGTGACACGCATTTGACGAACCCATCTGCCTGGACCATGGGCTCGACGGCGTGGAGGCTAGCGAACCCCTCGCCCCAGATGCGCACTCCACTGGGGGCCGCTGGTCGCGCGCTGGGGAACGAGGGACCTCCGTGAAGGATGAAAGCTGCCGCGGACTAGCGGTATCCAGTTTTGCCCATGCGGGCTCCGCCCGCCAAAGCGTAGCCTGGAGCCAAAATGGCTACGGGAGGAGGAGGAGGAGGAGGAGGAGGAGGAGGAGCTGGGGGAGCAGGAGGAGGAGGAGGAGGAGCAGCAGGGGGGGGAGGAGGAGGAGGAGGAGGAGGAGGAGGAGGAGCTGGGGGAGCAGGAGGAGGAGGAGGAGGAGGAGGAGGAGGAGCAAGGGGAGGAGCGAGGGGAGGAGGAGGAGGAGGAGGAGGAGGAGGAGGAGGAGGCTTCTGCCTGGAGGGCTGGCCGCAAGCTGCCGGCGATAAAAAAATACTCCGGGGGAGGTCCCTCTGCGGAGGTCCCGCGGCGGCCCAAAAGAGTCCAGGCAGAAGCCGAACGCGAGGAAGAGGGGGATGACGAGGGCGAGGAGGAGGAGTTATATATATACATATATATACAGATAAACAAAAAATCCACCGCAGGCGCACACACCAAATCCATGTGTCAGATCCGTACTACAAATCTCAATGCAACGGGGCCGCACAGCCAACATGCAGCGAGGGGGGGAGAGGCAGCAGCAGAGGCAGGCAAAGAGAAGCGGCGGCGGGCACTCTGCTCCGAGTGTACATGATCCCTGGCGGGCGCGCCCCCCCCGGCACACAGAACAAAAGGGGATCAACACTCGAGCATCCGTCCCATGCCACGCTCACTCCACGGCTGACCGAGGGCCCACCCAACACCGCAGCAAGCAAGAGCAGACAAAAGGGGCACGCCCCAAAAACGAGAACCCAACACAGAGAGGGAGGGAATACCTGATGGCAGGCCGCCACTGTGCCTCGAACATCGTCGGGAACCTGAGGGCGAGCGGGGAACACTCCCTCGCTTCCTCGCGCGGGGCGGCAGCCGGGGTGCCTCGAACTTCGTCGGGAACCTGAGGGCGGCGGCGGGGCGCAGAAGAGGAGAACGACCTCCTCCGCGCCAGACGCAACGGGTGTCTGGAGGCGCCACGGCTTGGCGTCGCGGGAAGGCCACCCTACCCTACCGAAGCGGCGAACGACCCACGGCCAAGCGAACCAGACCGCCCGCCCGTCGGGGAACCAGAAGATCACGGACACCAGGAGAGAAGCGCGGGCAAAGCGGCAGAGAGAGGCGGGGGGGACGGCGCGGCAAGAGAGGCACACTCTCCCGCGCACCGTCCAGTCTTCGCCTGCAGGCGGAGGGGTCACAGAGAGCACTGACAAGCTCTCACAACCCAGGCTACAACACGGGGCCCTGAATTAACCAGAATGAACAGTGCAGAAACGGCACAACAGAAAGTAAACCTCGGAAAACCAGCCAGCCAACCCGAGAGACCCACCAGGGTCCCATCACACTCTGACAGCATCATGCATGGACCTAAATCTAGAGGGCCCCAGGGGAAAGGGGGAACAAAAAGAAAAGGGACACGGCAGCTCAGGAGAGGGGAGGCACGGCAGGGGGAGCAGGAGGAGGAGGAGGAGGAGGAGGAGGAGGAGGAGGAGCTGGGGGAGCAGGAGGAGGAGGAGGATGGCCGCAGGCTGCCGGCGATAAAAAAAGTACTCCGGAGGAGGGTCCCTCTGCGGAGGTCCCGCGGCGGCCCAAAAGGGTCCAGGCAGAAGCCGAACGCGAGGAAGAGGAGGATGAGGAGGAGGAGGAGGAGGAGCTGGGGAACAGGAGGAGGGGAGGAGGAGGGAGGAGGAGGAGGAGGAGGAGCAGGGGGAGCAGGAGGAGGAGGAGGAGGAGGAGGAGGCCTCTGCCTGGAGGGCTGGAAGGGAGCCGCAGGCTGCCGGCGATAAAAAAAGTACTCCGGAGGAGGTCCCTCTGCGGAAGTCCCGCGGAGGCCCAAAAGGGTCCAGGCAGAAGCCGAACGCGAGGAAGAGGAGGATGACGAGGACGAGAAAAAAAAAAAAAAAAAAAAAAAAAAAAAAAAAAAAAACAGGGGGGGCAGGAGGAGAGGAGGAGGAGGAGGTGGAAGATGAGGAGGAGGAGGAGGAGGAGGAGGAAGAAGGGGAGGAGGAGGAGGAGTGGGCGGAGTGGGCGGGCGGCGAGGTCGACGTTTGCCTTGGTGGGCGCGGCGCGAAGGCGGAATCGGGGCGACGGCTGGGGCAGGGCTGGAAACTTTGAAGGGGGCCGGAGGGTGAGACGGGACGACGACGACGACGACGACGAGGACGACGACGACGACAACGACGACGATGACGACAACGACGACGACGACGACGACGACGACGACAACGAGGACAAGTACGAGGACGAGGGCGAGGACGACAAAAAACGACGACGACGACTTTTCTCATCAATCGACTTCGGGGAAAACAAAACACCACATTTCAGAGGTCAGTTGTATGTGTGCGAGCAAACTGCACTGAAGGTGTCCCGTCGCAGGGCACAAACCCTTACTCGCCGTCTGGGGGTGCGCCACGCGAGCGCATGGGGCTGCAACGAGCGTCTACCTGCGAGCGTGCTCACTCCCGGCTGCTCAAAGAGATCCTAGACAATCCATTGCTTCGTCTTCTTGGACGTCCAAATCTGCGTGGTCGAGCTCGACCTGATCGAGCGCTGGCTCGATGTCAGGGTCAAAGTGGCTGGCGGTCGGGCGGTAGGCGAAAAGGCGCGGCTGTGGGTGGGCACTGGCGGGCGCGGAGCAGGCATGAGAGGGGGGCTTCAGGAGAAAAGGGAACTTCGGGTGTCCGCGGATTTCCGTTGCTGAGTACACCGTGCAACTGGAGGAGCTGGGAGGGAGGGACTGGCCACGCACGAACGCAGCAGGGCGGATCATACTGACTTCTGCGACGACGACGACGACGACGAGGCGAAGGGACTTCGAAGAGGGGACTTCGAAGGGGGGAACGCACGCACGCATCCGCCGTTGCTGGGGAGGGCCGGCGTCCCTGCAGGAGAGGCAGGCACGCCTGTGGTACGCTGGCCCTCTTAGGAGACCGGGACTTCGAATGGGGAAGGAGGAGGAGGAGGAGGAGGAGGAGGAGGAGGAGGAGGGAAGCGAAGGGAGGAGGCGGGAGGGCGGGGCCAGAAGAAGGCCGAGGATGCAACGGCGGCGACGCGCGTTCGCCCAGCCAAGGGGCGCCCGACGTGAAAGGGTTTCGCGCGAGGCCCTCGGCTTCCGAGGGTCGTGTCCAGACACTTCGCCGCTGCCTGACAAGAGTGAAGGGGCCCTGGGGCACACAAATAAATACACACAAATAAAAAGATTCCGCACATGTTCCTGCACTTTCTGGGCCTTCGTCTTCCCCCCCCCCACCTCCCACATATTTTCCAGTATCTTCAGGGGAACCGTCGATCCATTGTGCCTGTGTGCTTTTTCCCCTCCTGACAAGAGCCCGCTCGGGATTCCCGGCTCGAGGGCCGGGCCGCCGACGGCGTCGGCGGCGCACGGGCGGCGTCGTGGTTACAGGCCGCCGGGCTCCGGCTCGCGCCGCGCCGCGGCTGCTGCCAGAGGCCCTGTGGTGCGATGCGGCCGCGGCCCGCCCGGATGGGCACGGGGCCCGTGGCAAGCCCCGCGTGCTGCCCGAGGTTTCGGCCCGCGGGGCGCGCACCCGCGCCCCTCGCCCCAAGAGAAGATCGCGTCTTGCAGCTCGGCTGGGCTGTAGAGCTTGCCAGCGAGGCCCGGTTGGTTTCGCCCGAATCGGGAGCGAGATACTTGATAGCGGAAGGTGCCATGCTCGATCGAATGCTGACCTCCACACGTTTTACAGTGAGCGGCACATTAAAGGTACGCACCGCAAATGGAGGTGAAGGCGCATATTAGTTTGGACGTGAAGGTGCACATGCCGACACATATACCTCTGAAATCAAAATGCAAACGGCCCCGTCCGAGTGAGAGTAAAGCTGAAGAGCACGGGCAACAACGAGGGTGAAACAGAGGAGAAAGGAAAAGAGTGTATGCAATCACGAGAGATCGATAATACACTTTGGTTGCCCCGTGGCTGTTTACCCTGTGGCTGTCCCGCGGGTCTCTCTCTACCTACCACGAAACCCGCACACCGACAACGTATATGATGTCCGCCAGCGCCGCCGTACAAACGCCTCAAGGCGTCTTGAACAGTACGCACATGCGCGACCACACTTGCAATCAAAGCCTGCAGTATTACTGATGTGTGCAAGCAGCTGAGCTCAAGAAAAGACACGCTGGCGCTCTCGGGCCGTGGCGTCGTCGTCGTCGTCGTCGTCGTCGTCGTCGACGGCGTCGTCGTCGTCGTCGTCGTCGCTGTCGTCGTCGTCATCGTCGCCGAATCGACAAGCGCATGGGGAACGGCCGTCCGAGCGATGGCGGGAGAGGTTGGAACCGACCAGAGAAACCTGCCGTCGTGATCTCTCCCCGCGGCGCGAAGCGCGAATGCCTTCCAAGCCTGGAGCTCATGAAAAGACACGCTGCCCGCGGCAAGTTGAACGTGGGCGCAACGACGGGACAGGTCGGCGCACCCGCGTCACAGAGCGTCGCGCCGCGCGCCCCGCGATGCGCGGCCCCCTTCGCGGTCTCGCGCCGCCGCCCCGGAGAAGAGCAGGACGAGGGGGAGGAGGAGCAGGAGGAGGAGAAGGACTAGGAGGAAGAGGAAGAGGAGGACAGGGGGCAGGAGGAGGAAGGGGGAGGAGGAGGAGGAGGAGGCGGAGGAGGAGGAGGAGGAGGGGGAAGAGGAGGATAATGAGGAGGAGGAGGATGAGGAGGAGGAGATCGGCAAGAGATCGGCATGAGCAGTACGCAATCGTACTAAACTTGCTTGCTATGCTATACATGCACACTCACGCGTGCACCTTCGCATTAGCTCTGGTGACCGCTCTATTGGCATCCCGCCAGTGCAGGGCCTCCTGAACTTTCTTGGGCATGCCCTTCGGGTGAGGCCATAAGCCCCATGCAATTCGCCTAAGGTTCTGCTCTCCTTTGGCCGTCTTATGGTCACACTTCTCCGCAAGAGCCCTTGCCATTAGACTGCTGCAGCCCCCACAGGAGGAACAGAAATACAAGTCGAATTGATCTACATAAAGGAGGGTGTGCGACGGGTGCAGTGCCTTCCCACCCACACTCAGACCCGACCGCGACGACCCTCCCACCCGAGGACGATGCACGCACACCGCGCCAGCTGTTGCGAATTGCGTCGGCCTGCACTCGGATGTCGCAAACCATTCTGGGTCCGCGTGCAGGGCGGAACGCTCACAGATCCTGCAATACCATCTCGCCCCCACACGCTCAAGATGGTGGGGCGACGAGGCAGTCAGGACCGCCTGCTTACACATCCTAGGGCCCTTCGGCACGGCCTCCGAATTAATGGGGTCGACAGCCATGCAGTCCAAGTTAGCACGGACCGCCCTGCGCCGCACGAGGTGGGCCACCGCGTCGACCCGTCCGACCTCAGGCTTGGCGGTGGCTTTACCCAAAACCTCGGCGGCAGCTTCACCTGCGAAAACATCGGCGCAAGTGTTTCCAGCAATCTGCCACAACTGCTGGGGGGTCTCCGACCCCGTCAACTCTTCATCCAAATGACTGTGCAAAAACGCAACTTGAATTCTGGAATCACCCCGCTCATTCACAGCGGCCCGGATGGCCAACCACAAGTCAGCATTCCTTCCACGTGGCGGCTGCCTATGGCGCCCGCGGCTCCAGCCCGTCACCAAGCGTAGGTCGCCTCGAGTGGCCCTCAGCGCCAGCAGGAAGGCCCACAGCTCGGCCCTCGGGACCGTCTGCTTAGGCCCAGGCAGGCCGGCGACGATGCCCGCCACGACCATCGGGGAGTGGTCCTCGTTCTCCACGAAGGCGCGCATGATAGCCACGCCGACTCCGCACTGTCGGAGCCTGGGGTCGTCGCTGTGCTCGCCACCCGAGCCGTCGCCGAAGGCGTCGAGGAAGCCGTCGGCGCCGCGCTGACTCTCGACCTCCGCCCAATTGCCCGTCTGGCGCTCGAAGTCGGAGGCGCCCGCGGGGTACGTGTACTTCGTCCAGCTGGCTGGCGACAGGCCCCGGAGCCACAGGCACGGTACCGCCTCGTGCCCCTCGACCGCTTTATCCAGCAGGGACTGCGTGCTGGAGTAGTCATCGTGCCCCTGGTTGCACGGGCAAGTCCAGACCCTATGCAGGAGGGTCTCGCGCAGCCCGCAGCGCGGGCAAAGGTCCGTGCTTGCCAAGCCTCGCTCCTGCTGCCGAACCCTCGTCCAGGAGGCGCCCGTCATGACCTGCAGCTGCAGCGCCCAGGTGCTCTGGTCACCATCTCTCTGCAGCTGGGCCAGCTGCCGCCTGGCCTGATGGAGGTCAGGGCCACCCTCGAGTCCCTTCCCCGCGTCGTGCTGCGCCGCGCTCCTCCACCACGTGCGCTTGATGCTGGCGGCCACCTCCTCCAGCAACTCGGCGTCGTCGACCTCATTAGGACCCTCACTCATCCTCCAGAGCTCGTCGACGTCCGACTGTCGCTCGACTGCTGTGGGTACGTCCCATCCAGCCGTCAACAGCGTGCAGATGACCGCTGAGATGGCCCCCTTCACCTTGGCCCACCTGCGCTCCGGCGGCCTGCCACGGAGCTCCCGGTAGATGTTCGCCCAAGCTCACTGGACTCGAGCATGGTGCTCAGGGTGCCGCCTCCAAAATTGCAGCCACTCTGCCACCAACTGCCGTGGTAGCGCCAGCCCTGGGTCGTCATCGCCCATCAGCAGCGCCAGGGTGGTGGTCAGGCACCTGCCAAATCCTTTGCCTACTATGGCACCGCTGGCCTGCCTACGAAGGCGCAGCATCAGGTAAGGTGCTGTGCCCAACACCTGGTGCCCGTAGATCAGAGCAGGCCGGGCCCCCGTGCGGTGCAGCTTCTGCGCGTACTTGCCCAGGATGAGGAGGAGGAGGAGGAGGAGGAGGAGGAGGAGGGGGAGGAGAGAGGAGGAGGAGGAGGAGGAGGAGGAGGAGGAGGAGGAGGAGGAGGGGGAGGAGGAGGGGGGTAGGGGGGGGGGCGTGAGGAGGAGGACGGTAAGGAAGATGAGGAGGAGGAGGAAGAGGAGGAGGAGGAGGAGGAGGAAGAAGAGGAGAAGGAGGGGGACCAGGAGGAGGAGGAAGAGCGAGCGTCCCTGGGGGCAACGGTCCTCCTCTCGCCCGCTGCGCGCTCGGCCGAGCGCCCTCTGGGACACCAACGTGCACGGCGTCGCGGTCGGTGGCGGAGGTGGCGACGCCGTCGGCGTCCGAGAGGGCGACGAGGTCCGCGGACGCGTCGCCGAACGCCTCCTGCGACGCGGGGTCGAAGGGCGCGCGGTCGGGGAAGGCGCCCTCCAAGCTCGCGAGGGCGAAGAAGGCGGGGTCATCAGCGTCATCGATGTGAGCCCCAACAGAGGCCATGTCGACATATCCCGCCAGGTGCACGGAGTTTGGGCCGACGTCGTTGTAGTCCTCGGCGGCAACGTGCGCGACCGAGGGGATACCAATCCGCATCCGCGGCGCAGACCCGTCATCTTCCGAGTCGAAGGCCATGACATCTTCGCTGGCACAAAGCTCGAGAAACCCAGGCGCATCACCAAACAGATCCTGCACGCCAGGGTCGGGTAGGCACTCCAGCTCCTTATCGCGTGGGATTTCTTCGTCTTTTCCCAGGTTCCAGCTCGGGTTGTTCAGCATCCAGCAGACCAGCTCTTGCGCGGAGGTCTCGGGGTACAGGTTGTTCGGGGCACGGAGAGCGTTAGCCAGCTGAGGGATAGAGATCGCCTCGTGATAGGTGGGCTCGACAGGCAGCGCCGTTGATGGCGAGCCCGCAGACGGGGAAGCCGCCGACGTCGCAGCCGCCAAAGAAGGGCGCGAGGTCATGCCACGAGCGAGAGCCTCCAGCGCGAGCTGCAGAGCCAGCGTAGTGGAAGGTAAAAGCTCACTCGCGTTGAAGCCACAGGCCGCATGCGCGCCACCAGACTCAGCGCCAGCAGCCAGAGGACCCAGCTCACCGCGATCATATTCGGTAGGAGGCTGATGGACAAGGAACACTCGCGCATCATGGGCAGCATGGGCCTAAAGAGCACGGGTTGGACCAGCACCGTGTACAGCTGGAGACTGAAGTCCATGGGGCCATTGGTATTCAGCAGGAGGGGGGGGCGCCATCGGGGCGAGCAGCCCGCGGAGTCTCTGACGAAGAAGGATCAGCCGCGAGCGGCGCGGGGGGCGGCGGCGCGGTCATGTCACGCGACGTCGCGGTGCCCCCATTCCCCTTGGATTCGACCTCTAGCTCGCTGTCCTCGCTGTCTACGACGTGGCCATGCAGCCCAGGGTGTCTGGGGCAGGTCGGGGACGCGTCTACAGGCGCGGCAGCAGGGGCCAACGCGTGCGCTGACGAGGAAGAAGAGCCTATCCAAGCAAGAACGTCCGCATCAGCTCCTGCAGTGAAGGTGGGGGGCTCGATGAGCTCGCAGCCAGCCGGGGCGGCGTTGCGCTCGAGGTGGCAAGAGGGCGCCCCTGTGACGCTGCAGACGGCTTGGGACGGGAGCCAAATATGTAACCCGCGATCCGTCATCACGTCGTCCTCGAAGAGCGCCGGTGGAGGCGGTGACCGCGCGAGCACCGCCTAGATCCCGCCCATCACTTCCAAATCATCATCTGTGGGGGGCGGGTAGGAGTCCACTCCAGGGCCGTGCTATGTGTTCGGCCAGGTCTTGTTGGGAGAGTAGTCTTCCTCTGAGGAGCTCGAGGTATCATTGAAAGTGGGATCCATCGGGCATGTGTCGAGGTTGCCAACGGGAAAGCCACGGGCAGCGACAAGGCCTGCTATGTGCGCGTGCGGTGTTGGAATCACATTCAGTTCGCGGCCATGCCGCTCAGCGCTGCCACGTTCGACCCCATATAGAAAGCGGATGTGAAGGTCCACGGGCACGCGGGGCGGGTCAGGGTGCCAGGTGAGCGCGGGGAAGTGCTGCGTAGAGAGCTTCATCATCGGGCGCAAAGCCGCATTATTCCGACAGGGGCGCTCACGAGAGAAAGCGCTTCCATACCAACCTGCCATGCAGATGTCTTCAACTTCGCGGCGACGCAGGCGCTCTTGGCAGCCGCCCCCGCGAGCAACGACGCGGGAGAAGTGGTCCGCAAAGGGGAAGTATAACAACAGCCCGAAGACGCGGTCGACGCACCAGCCCATCCGGATCGCGAGGTTGTCAGCACCACCCTGGTAGGATATTGATGGCACCCGGCTGTCTGCCCAGATCAGGGCGCGGTTGATCAGCTCGCGGCGCAGGGCAATGAAGCGCCGGGCAGGGGAGAGGACCAGGCGCGCGCCACTAGAGCCCATGTCGCTGCAAGCGCAGCCATCATTGCAGAGGAGGCTTCCCAAAGTATCAACCGCGTTCTCGCGGGGCCGGTCGCCAGGGGCGCCAGCTGCACGCAGAGGGGGGGGGGGGGGGGGCGCGAAAGACACCGTAGCCTTCCGTCGCTCGATCCGGGAGCAGGGCGCCATTGCCTTCAGCCGCATTCAGGTGCGAAGAATCACGGAGGAGGCCGAGAGCGAAGGCAGCCTCGACAACGCCGACCACAGGGGGCGATGGTGTCGCGCCCGGTGAGCTGGGGGAAGGCCAGGATGACGAGCTAGTCGAAATGCTGGACGACTGTGCTGAAGCGCTGCAAGAAGCAAGAGGCTGGCGACGTGAGCTCCGGGCTCTGCGGCCGGAAGAAAGCGGGGCACGCGAAGGTGATGGGGCCCCGAGCTGGGCAGTGCGAGCAGCCGCCATGATGCGCGACCGAGCTGCCTCGAGGGGCCGGACGAAGGCGGCCGAGCCACGGGCAGCGCTGACATGGGAGTATCACATGACCACAACATCCACGATGGCACGGTCCAGCTCGATTATGCTGCCGAAGAGGCCCAGGCGTCCCAGCGCAGTGGCAGGGCGCGAGTGGCCGAGCTTGTCCTCCACAATCCCCGAAAATGGACTGCGTATGAGGTAGTTATTGAGAGCGTCGGGGCAGCGCTTGCAGCCGCAGCGGCAAGTGGGGCGGCCATGAGGCTGGAGCACGCGGTGCGACGTGGCCTTGCCGTTGGCAAGCGCCTCGATGCATGCGAAGGCCCGCGGCGTCGAGCACCCGCGCGTGCATTAAAGAATTTTGCCCCGTCGGCGCGGTGGAGCGCGGGGTCGGCCGTGGATGTGCGTCCCGGAAACGGCCCTGAAGAGCCCGGCGGCGAAGCAATTCCACAGATGGCATGGAGTTCGGCAGCGCATGGCCGCCCTCGTGACAGAGCGTTGTAGGCCGGCGGAGGAAGGAGGACGCCCATGCCATTCCCGAACAACATCTCTGGCTGCCTCAAGCCGAGAGGCTGCGTAGTCCAGGAGGATCGGGGGAGCGCCGCCAGCCAGAACACGCGCCAGTGCTTCCACGAGAGCTCCCGACTTCCGAAGTATGGGCAAGGGCGCGTGGAAGATGATGGCGAGGGCGCTCGTAGATCACATAGCCGATCGCGCTGACGCTGCAGCCAATGATGGAGACGCTGACATTCAGGGAGGGTCGCGTTGGCTGCGCGGGTCAGCGCATCAATGGTTAGCGCTAAGTGCTAACAACGACGGGATTGAAGGGCCTCCAGCGCTGCGAAGTTGAAGCCAAGCCGCCATGTTGAATGCGCCGAGGGGGGCCCGAAAGGTCCTTGAGAGCGAGACGAGCTCCTCCTTGAGAAGCCGCTGCGGCATCATCCTATGCTGGGCGACGAAGGAGAGCACAGGCGTGATCTTGGTGTAGTTGGCGGCGAGACGCGACGCCGCCAGCGGGCTTGCCTACCGGGCGCGAACGCAACTTGGCCTTGATCGATGGCGCTAACCAGCAGGAGCTCCCATCAGCAGCTGGGCCCAACCAAGGACCCAAGTAGACCAGTGCGCTCGCAATCTGGATCTTCGCGAAGAATGGAACCGCAGCAACAAGGAGCATGCCGAACCGCCGTGGCCACCTCCACCGAGCAAGGAGCGCACAAGCGGGCGAGCACGCACATGGTCAGCTTCAGCGAGGGCGTGGCAATGGCCCCTGCGATCTGCACCACGTCAGCGACCACCCGCAATGCCTGCAGTTTTTTTGGGCGACGCAACCGATGTCGTCAGCGGTGCCAGCGCCGGGCCAAGTCGAGCGCCTTCTAGCCGCACTTGTAGACTTTCCTTTTTTGTTCATAAAAAACACGCGGTGACGGCAGCGTAGACGAACCGCTGGGCGAGCAACCCTGGATGGGGATGGCGCCTGAAGAAGTCCATGGACACGGCGCCCAGGATATATATATATATAGTAAAGCTGCTCGAGCACAATCACGAAAGCTAAGGGGGTCTGCGTTTGGCGGAATACCACCGGCATGAAAAACTGCGCAAGGGCCGGGAAGGCCGCGCCGAAGTCCAGCGCGACGAGGGCGGGGAGATCACGATCTGCAGGCAGAGGGAGAATTAGAGCGCGCGCATGAGACCACGTCTAGTTCCAGCACGTCGACGCCAAAGTTGCGCTTCGAGATGAGGCCGCGCTGGGAGCGCGGGGCCCAGTCCATCGGGGGCTGCTGAACTGAGCGTTGATGGTCGCAGCGATGAGCTCGACGTCGGCGTCGCGTAGGCCGAGCGCCCGCACGGCGCTAGGAGCGCGAGAACATCCAGCAACCATTGAGTCGTCCACCTCCTCGCCTTTCGGAAGCCACATCTGAAGCGTGTCATTCGGGCTCTTGAATAACGCCCGACCGCCCATGATCCATGCCATCGCGTCCACCAGCGCGTCGATGCCCGAGGAGGTGGCCGCCCGCGCCGAGTGCGGGATAGACCCCAGCCCAGGCTCAGAGTAGCGCATCTTCTGAACCACTCGCCGTAGGAGGGCAGGAGACGGAGCTCAACCTTGGAACAATCTAGGGCATGAGTGTGCCGCTCGATGTATTGTTGAACCATGGTGAGATCGATCGGCTTGGCCCGGAAGATCAGAGCCCAATGCTCTATCCACCGCTCGGTCAGCATTGACGCCTCGCTGGTGGCACAGATAGGGCCTGGAGGGTGTTTGACAGCCCGGGGGCCGAGCCGACGATTGACGGGAGAACAGATGGGCGAACGGCGCTCCGCCGCCACGAGCTGGTGCCGGAGGGCCCGGGTTGCTCGGGGCGGCGCGAGGCGCTCCTCAAGTCGTGCACGAAGCCAATCAACATGCCGACGCTGAATGCCATCACGCCAGTGCTGAAAAGAGGCCGCATGTCGAAGAACAACACGCTGGTCACGAATCTTCAGGAAGTTGTGAGCCGTATCGGGATTCCAGATGAGCTTCTGAGTCAGCTTGGTGTGATTCCGCCAGACGGCTCTAGACATATGTCGCGCTAGCACAGAGGGCGTCGGGGCAGCTTCAGGCGCCTGGGCAAACTGACGATCACGGAGATCAGCAGCAACCTCCCATATAGCCCATTCGCGCAACTCGATCTGCCGCGGGGGATTCTTGTCAGAGTAGTGCAGATGCTGACAAACCTCTCGGGACTGTCTTTGAAAAGCGTCAGACTCGAAGACGGGGAATCCGATGCGCGCGAGGAGGTTGTCGCACACGTTGGGTGAGCTTGACCACCCGCGCGGCGTGATCAGCAAAACCGTCAGGGAAACCCTTGACAGAAGGTTCACACGTAAGCTGCGAAAGAGCCTACCCAGGCCAACTGATCCACAATCTGTCCGATATCGAAACCGGATGCGAATTCCTGTCGTAGTGCGTCGGCTCATCCGACGAGATCTCTGCAAGTAAGCGAAGCGTCTGGAACCAGCGAGCCACGCGAGCATGCAACCCTTTGCGTTCAGCAAGAGGCCGACGGGGTTGATGAAGCAGAAGAGGGCCTTCGAGTTATGTGGCTCCCGTCCTACTTAAGGACCGCATCCCAGAAACAATTTCGAACACCCGGAAAAGTGCCAAAAGAGTGTCGAAACAGTGTCGGGCGAGTGTTTCCCAGGGCACCACACGTGAAAATCCTCGAGTTTCGGCACTTTTTACCTGGTGCTCGAGATTCTTTCTGGTGATCAAGGCTAAAGTACGTTGGAACATCATAACCCTCGGGGCGAAGTTCTTGTCGCCGTGGACCACCACCGTGTTGTGCAAAGGGTCGGCCTGCGCCACCGGCATGTCAGCTGGCAAAACTCCCGACACAGAAATGAACTGTGCGATGGTGAGGTCGTAATGATGTACGCTGCGATGAAAGATGCGGATGCTCTCTGGTTGCAGCACTACTCGTAGCACTCGACCAGGAACCAGAGAACGATGAGAGACATCAGCTTGGCACCCCGCTGGCAGAATAGTCGCAACACCACCCTTGACTGCCGACCCCTCGCAGTAGCTGGTGTAGAGTCGAGCGGCAGGAAGAGGAGCAGGAGGAAGAGGAGGAGGGCGAGGAGGAGGAAGAAGAGGAGAAGGACACGTCGGCGGCCACGGGCCGCGAAACGCGAAGCGCAACATCCTCGCCGCGCCCCCCGCTGGCGACCCCGCGCGCAACCCAGCACCACAACAACAACAACAACAACAACAACAACAACAACAACAACAACAACACGGCCATGCGCCAGCCTGTGGCACGAAGCTTCGTGCAGAAACCGGGAAGCATCGAGCTAGACCAAGATACGGGAAAACGGGAAAAAATCGGGCGACCAGCTCCCGGGGAAACATCGAGCTGGAATCGGCCCCGCTTCGCTGTTCACTGAGGGGCAACGACAGGGGGCAACTGGCTCACGGGGATGCATCGAGCTAGCATCGGCCCCGTTTCATCGGTACGGCGCTTCGGCCTGTGGCACGGCGCTTCGGCAAAGTACAAAGGTATAAGAAAAAGTCGAGTGGGGGAAAACATGACGAAGGCCGATCTACGTCTGCGCGTGTTGCATTGATGTGTGTGCACGCGCTGAGGCCACTGTGGTTTTGGGCAGCCGCGCTTCCACAGGGATGCAGATACCCCTGCAGGAAGTCAGTCCCTCACCTTGCGCGCGGCGGTGGCCGGCAGGTCGGACGGTCTCGAGCCCTAGAAGGGCCCAAGTCCCTGGAGAGTTCACAGGGAACCAGAGACCTCACACAGTGAGCAGCCCAGAGGAAAGGAGAGAGCGGTCGCAGGAACTCCACACCCCGCGGCTGCGCGCACAGTTCGGATCAGAGAACAGCATTCCTTATAGCCATGGCGGCTGGCGCACGTGGGGAACAAAGCATCCCATGCCAATACGCGGGAACGATAATATCCACCGAAGCTGGTGGCCGATTTGGCCTGGGCTGCAGCAACTTCGACGCCCTGGGGGAGGCAAGGCGGATCGATCGCGGGCGGCCAGTTCACGACCGAGGTACGAGCCGAAGTCAGGCAATATCCTGGCGGGCACCTGGCATCACCACTCCAGGCAAAACGTAGGCGGCCACAAACAAAACTTCCCTGTGGCGAGTCGGTATTGGTGTGTGAACCGGCCAAACTTATGGCCTAAAATCCGCCGGCCCCCAATTGCCAGTCTCCAATGCTATAAAGATGCTGTCTGTTTCCCGCTCTACATTGTCATTCTCCGCGCGAGGGGGGGAGCCGAAAAGCGTCCCGCTTCCCCTAGGGGGTTTCTCAAAATTTCTGGGGGGCGAGGGGAGACGTGCAAATACATGAGATTCGCGCCCCGGAGGCCACGATTTCTTGTAAATTACATCAGACTCGCGCCCCCAAGGCTACGATCCCTTGAAACTGCGCGACGTGCGCGCTCCCGATGCCGCAATCCCTTGCTCATGACGCCGCAATGGCGCCCCCCGAGGCCACAATCCACAGTAAATTGCATCGCGCTCCCGCCCCCGAAGCAACGATCAATTGAAAGGCGTGCGCCCCCCCCGCGCCCCCGCGGACACGATCCTTGGACGATCCCACGAAGCCGCGCCCTCGAGGCTACGGCACTTGGCATACTGCGGGGCGCTCGCGCCTCCGAGGCCACGGCCCCTCTTGGATTGCGCCGCGCTCGCGCTCCCGAGGCGACGATCCCCTGCAGCATCTCGCCGTGCTTTGCTGATCGCCAGCCGTCCTCGCGTGAGCCTCCCAGACGTCTTTAAGATGGCGCCCAGACATCCCAACATGCTGCCGGAAAAGAGGGGGCCTCCCGAGACAACGCGGAGCTCGTGAGACGGGGATGGTGCACGTTTTCTTATTCGGCGTTTCGACGTTGGGCGGAAGGGGGGGGGAGGGTCTGGCTCCGGGCCTCTGCTGAAAGCGACTGTTTGCACCAGTGCGTCCTATGGGGGAGGAGACTCCACCTGCTTGAGACAGGCGCCGCCAAAAACAGCCAAGATCTACTCCATTGGGGTTGGGGAGCAAAGGGGGGGGGGGCGAGGGCCCGCGCCCATTGGCAAAACAACGAATAAGAAAACGACGACATGCATCGGCAGCCAAAAAAACGTCTGGGGGGCAAGGCGGGTCAACAAGCACGGCGGCACGGCGGGCGCATACCCGGAGCAGGAAGCCTCGAGCCAGAAAAACCTCGGAGCACTTCCTCGGGCACAGGGCGGGCCTCCCCGGCGCTCCACGCGGAGACGAAGGCAGGCCGAAGGCAGAAAACGGGGGCTGAGATAATCATCCGCCGATTCTACTTCTGTCAAAGAAGGAAAGACGTCATAAACGTAAACTTTTGGCGCTCTGCGCGAATTTCTTGGATCCGCGCTGAACCCCCCTCCCCGCCCGGCGCGTGGAGCGCGCCAGGGGCGGCGCCGGAGGCGCCGCCAGAGGGGCCCAGCGCCGATCCAAGAAATCCGTGCGGAGCGCCAAAAAGTTTATGTTTATGGCATTCGCTCGTCTTCGATTCTTGCTTTGCCGCATGTCCTTCCGTTTCTTCTCCCAGTCTGGTCCACCCAAAATCTGGGCCCCCACCATCCTCCAGCCCCGTTCCCTCCGCCCACGCCCGGATATCTGCAGTCGAGAACGTGTTTGCAGGGGGCACCCCTTAGGGTGGCAGCGTGGTGTTCCTTTCGATGGCTGTGGATGGAGCCGAGCACCTGGGCTAAGTTCGCTCGCCTCGTTGTTTTCTTTTATGTCTTCTCTCTCTCTCTCTCTCACTCTCTCTCTCTCTCTCTGCGCAATGCTGTCTTGCACGGCTGCCGCTGTCTGTCTCTCCTTGTCCAAGTATTCGGCTCAGCCTGCAGCTGTCTCGGGCCTGGCACAACGGGCACTGCTCTACGAGGATGGAAACGCACACACGGCTGAAATTACCCACGCGCTGGATACAAATGCGGATGGCAAGCATGCCCGCGTGAGCTTCCCACCACGGCCCAGACTTGCCACGGGTTTCCAGCCTCTTAGCACAAACAGGCCAAGCAAAATCAAAACAGGAGGAGGAGTTCTCATGCCGAGAATCGAGCGCCACATCCTCCCCTTCGCTCACCCCTCCTGGCGCAGCTGGAGTTGACGCACTGGCCGTTCGAGGCGTGAATGCGCCTTCGCGTGTCACTCCGCCTCTCCCCAACCCTCCCACTCCTTGTCCTAAGTCCTCCTCCCTGCCGCCTTCCTCTCTCCTCCCTGCTCCCTCTGTCCTCCGCCCTCCCCCACCCGTATCCTTGATTCGCCACCCCCGTCCTGTACGTGTTGACAAGACACGGCGATGGTGAATTTCTGACGTTTTCTACGAAGGACGCCGTCGCAAAAAAAAGCACAATCGAAGGAACTTGACTCGACGGAAGGCAACACAAGAGAACACAACGCCAGCAACTCCCGAAGACATGCCGACCTCTCTTGGGGGAGGCTGCCCTCGCTTCACTCCTGCCGCCTTCCACGGACAGTCCGCAGGCTCGCGATCAGCATTGATTCCTTCTTTGGGCCGCCCTACCTCGCGGAGGTAGGGGGAATAGGGTGGTACACGGTGTGGGCGTTTCAAACGGCATTCTTTGTTTGGTAGGGAGATGCAGGATGAGGCTCTAGGGAGAGAGGGTTGAAGAAGAAACTAATAAAGAAGAAGGCCAAAGAAGTTGTGATAATCATACGGGAAAGCGAACCTTGGGAACAAGTGAAAAACCCTAAGACCTTCGAGGTTCCATTGGTTTTTCCACCGAGAAACCAAACATTCGAAGATACCGAACATCCAAACAATCAAACAACTGAGCTAAAATCAAAGAAGAAATGGTCCTAAAAGAAAAGTAAGCAACAAAAGTAAGCGAAACTTAACAACAATGGTTATTGCTTTTCTGTTGTTTTCGGATGTTCGGCTTTGTCGGATTTTCTGCGACAGCTTTGGTCCCGTGTTTTACCGGGAAACACAACATCGTAACAAACCGAACATCAGAAACAACAAGAAAATCAGTAAGCAGTCAACTAATACATTGGATCTTTAGAAGTTTTGAACACAAGAAAACAAGTAACCGAAACTTTGGTTTTGGCTGGTTTTCGGATTTTTCCGTCAAAACCAATGGTGTCCTTAATCTCTTTTACGGTTTCTCTGATGTTTCAGATGTTATGTTTTTTGTGTGTTTTTTTTTCTGCGAAAGCTTTGGTCCCGTTGATTTTTCCACCGAGAAACCACAAATCCGAAACAACAGAAAATCAGACACATCAGAACATTACCCTGCTCTCCTTACCTCCCCCACTGTTTTCATTACATTATTGTCATCGCATATGCATTGTCTTGTTCTTCAATTGTTACGATGCAGATTGGAACATCGTTTGCTTGCAACGTGATGCAAGCTAGCAGAGGTTTTTTTTTCCAGGGGAGGGGCCCTGGAGGACAGAGTCCTCACCTCCGAGGCATCACGGACTATGCTGTTGAAGAGGAAAAGATCCAGCTGTTCCTGCTCGTTTCTACACAGATATAATCACCCCTGTTATTACTCCGATCGCTGCTCTCACTCATCATCATCCGAATCCTCCTCATCGTATCTCCAATACGGATGGAAGAGAGGGGGGTCAGAGGGGGAGGCGGAGTGATCTGATGAAGACGAGGAGGACTTGCAGGACGATGAGGTTCAGGAGTCGTTCCACTTTCTTCTGCTGCCTCCAAAATCATTCTCACCACCCTCTATCAATCCTGCCGCTCCTCCTAGCCCTCTCATCGGAGGAGAAGAAGGGAGATGGAGAGCAGTAATCCCTCAGCCTCCTCCCTCTCCTCCTACTCCTCTTTTACCCTCCTCTGACAACGCCTGTTCCTCCATCTCCCAGCTAATTATCATCCCTCAGTCTCCTCCCTCCCTCCGCCTCCCACAGACGAGGGAGCAGGAGTGATCCGCCACCGTGCCCTGCGGCACGGAGTGGGCGTGTCCTGAGGTCCATGGACTCAGTCCTGAGGAGTCATTAAGGGACCGGAACCACCATTGCCAAATCTCTTGGGCTCTCGGGGTCTCTTGGGCCTTGTCGCGTCTTCTCGCTTGACTTTTGGGAGAGCCATTTTAAGGCACCATTCACGAGGATCGTGGCCTCCTAGGGGGTGCCCGAACTTTGGGGAAGGTTATTTTTCGACATCCCTCATGAGGATCGTGGCCTCCGCCCTTCCCCGCCACTTCTCGCATGAACTTTGGGAAGGCAATTCAAGTCCTCAACGCCGCTCACTAGGATCGTGGCCTCCGGGGGGGCGGGGGGGGAGCACAATCGAGTACCCCCCCCTCCCGCGCCAAGAGGCCCCCAAGAGGCGCCCAAGAGGCCCCAAGGGACACCCAAGACGCCGCCAAGGAGCTCCAGGAGGCCCCAAAGAGGCGCCCAAGAGGTCCCAAACCCGACCCCAAGAGGCGTCCAGAGGCCTCGAACCTGCCTCCCAGAGGCCCCACAAAGGCCAACCACGAGCTCACAACCAACATCACCCAGGCACGGTGGCGGGACATGCCGAAGGCAGCTAGATCCGCCGCGCCCTTTTGCTTTAGCAAAGGGGTGCCCGGCGTGCCAGACCCTATCGGTTTTGGTTTTGGTTCTTTTTCCAAAAGAACTCTCCCAATGGGCTCCGGCGCGTCCCGCCGGGGCCGCGGAAGGCCCGGAAACGAGCTCAACGACCGCAAAAAATCCTCCAAGATGGCTCGAGATGGCCTCCCAGACGGCCAAGATGGCCTCCAAGACGGCTCAGATGTCCCCAAGATGCCGCCAAGACGCCGAAGATGCACCCAAGACGGCCGTAGATGGTGTCAAGATGGCCCACGACTGCTCAAGAGTCCCCCCAGAGGCCCCGAAGACGGCCCAAGAGGCCTCCAAGAGCTCCTCCTGGAAGGCTCGCCGAGGCCAAAATCATTTGTTTTCCATTGGTTTTTCAAAGATTTTGGTATTTACGCCTTTTCGGCCTTCCGACGGCCACAGGTGGCCCAAGAAGTCCCCAAGATCGTCCCAAGATCGCCCAAGAGGCCTCCAAGATGGCCCCGTGATGGCCCAAGAGGCGCCCAAGACGGCCCCAAGACGGCCCAAGAGGCCTCCAAGACGCCGAAGATGGTCTCCAAGATGGCCTCCAAGACGGCTCAGATGGCCCCAAGATGCCGCCAAGACGCCGAAGATGCACCCAAGACGGCCTAAGATGGCGTCAAGATGGCCGAAGACGGGCCAAGAGGCCTCCCAGAGGCCCCCAAGACGGCCCAAGAGGCCTCCAAGAGGTCCTCCAGGAGGGCCCGAAGAGGCCCAAATCATTGATTTTCCTAAGGTTTTTGACGGATTTTGGAATTTGCGTCTTCTCGGCATTCCGACGGCTCAAGACGGCCCAAGAGGCCCCCAAGATCGCCCAAGAGGACCCCAAGAGGGCCCCATGACGGCCCAAGTGGCCTCCAAGATGGCCCCAAGAGGGCCCCAAGACGGCCCAAGAGGCCTCCAACACGCCCAAGATGGCCTCCAAGACGCCCAAGATGGCCTCCAAGACCGCCCCGAACCGCCCCAAGAGGGTCCCCCGTTGGCCCAGAAAGGCCCCCAAGACGGCTCTCGACGGCGTCAGACGTCCCAGGAACCTACCAAGATGGCCGAAGTTGGCTCGAAGCTGGCCCAAAAGGAGGCCCCCAAGAGGGCCTCCAGGAAGGCCAGAAGAGGCCAAAAACTTTGATTTTCCTTTGGTTTTTGACGGATTTTGACATTTTCTTCTTTTCGGCCTTCCGACGGCCCGAGACGGCCCAAGAGCCCCCAAAGATCGCCGAAAGATCGCCCAAGAGGCCTCCAAGACGGCCAAGATGACCTTCCAGACGCCCACGTGTTCCCCGAAGGCTTTCCAAACCGATTCGGGGAACACATGGTCCGATGGCTTGGCAGGTCTGGCCTCAACGTTCGGCCACATAGGCGCTTCCACAAAGGCAGGGGGCGGCGGTGATTCGCCGTAGGCGTCTTCGATCCGCCGCCCCCTGTCGATTCATCGCAGGGGTGCCTGGCGTGCTAGACCCTCTCGGTTTTGGTTTTGATTCTTTTTCCAAAAGAAGTCCCCCTGGGGCTCCGGCGCGTCCCGCCGGGGCCGCAGAAGGCCCAGAAACGAGCTCAACGACCGCAACAAATTCTTAAAGATGGCTCGAGATGGCCTCCCAGACGGCCAAGATGGCCTCCAAGACGGCTCAGATGTCCCCAAGATGCCGCCAAGACGGCCCAAGATGCACCCAAGACGGCCGTAGATGGTGTCAAGATAGCCCAAAACGGCCCAAGAGGCTCCCAAGAGGCCTCCAAGATGGCCCAAGACACCCCAAGAGGCCTCCAAGACGGACCAAAGAGGCCGAAATCATTGGTTTTCCATAGGTTGTTTGAGGATTTTGGCATTTAAGCATTTTCGGCTTTCCGACGGCCCAAGATGGCCCAAGAGGCCCCCAAAGTCGCCCCAAGATCGCCCAACAGGCCTCCAAGATGGCCCCATGACGGCCCAAGAGGTCCCCAAGACGGCCCCAAGACGGCCCGAGAGGCCTCGAAGACGCCCAAGATGGCCTCCAAGACGACCAAGATGGCCCAAGATGGCCTCCAAGATGCTCCCAAGACGGCCAAGATGGCCTCCAAGATGCCTCCCAGAGGGCCCCATGACGGCCCAAGAGGCTTTCCAGACGGCCCAAGAGGGCCCCAAGACGGCCAAGGAGGCCACCAAAACGCCCAAGATGGCCGCCAAGACGGCCCCGAAGCGCCCCAAGAGGCCCCCAAGTCGGTTCAGAGAGGCGCCCAAGACGGCTCCCGACGGCGTCAGGCGGGCCAGGAACGCCATAAGAAGGCCAAAGAGGCCGTCGAGAGGCCCCAAAAGGGCCCCAAGAAGCCGTCAAGATGCCCCAAGAGAGCCCAAGATAACCCCAATATCGCCTTCAAGAAGGTCCCAAGATGGCCCAATCGAGCTCAAGAGTGCCTCAAGAGGCTCCGAAGAGGCATCCTCCCCCTTCTCCTTTTCTCTCCTTCTCCTCCTATTCCCCTTCCCCCCCCACGTGTTCCCCGAAAACCTTCCAAACCGACTCGGGGAACACATGGTCCGACAGCCCAAAATGCCCCCAGGAAGCCGACATCAGGCCCCAAGAGTGGCCCAAGAGGCTCCCAAGAAGCCTCCACCTCCTCCTCTTCCTCTTATTGTTCCTCTTCCTCTTCCTCTTCATGTTCATTATTCCTCACGTGTTCTCCGAAAGTCTTCGAAACAGAATCACCCCGGGAAACTCCCAGCAGGCCCCGAGTGCCCCAAGAGGCCCCCAAGAAGCCTGCCTCCAAGACGGCCAAGATGACCTTCCAGACGCCCACGTGTTCCCCGAAGGCTTTCCAAACCGATTCGGGGAACACATGGTCCGATGGCTTGGCAGGTCTGGCCTCAACGTTCGGCCACATAGGCACTTCCACAAAGGCAGGGGCCGGCGGTGATTCGCCGTAGGCGTCTTCGATATAACGAGGATGATAATGGTTGATGGGAGCTAGAGGATGATGATGAGGAGGAGGGGGGGAGGGGTAGGATGATGAGGCAGAGGATAGGAGGAGGATGAGAAGGAGAAGGAGGTGGTGACTCATAAGCACCCCCCTCCTCCCACTCAGAATGACCTTTCAGGACGGACGCAATGAACGCCACAAGAAAAATCATTGGTGTAACCAGTATTGCATCATCAACATCATCATAGTGCTCATCATCATCATCATCATCATCATCATCATCATCATCATCATAATCATCATCATCATCATCATCATCATCATCATCATCATCATCATCATCATCATCATCATCATCATCATCATCGACCTCATCAACATTGTCATCATATCTATCTCATCAGCTTCATCATTTCTGTTCTCGGAGGAAAGGCAAAAAGTGTACCACCCTACTCCTCTGCTCCCACCTCGCGACTCTTCCCCTACGAGAGCTCAGTGGACGAAAATGCGTAAGCTTCCCACTGGTTGGCCGGGCTGGCCGCGTCACATGCTCGGGGAACGTTCTGACCGCTGAGCCGCCCGCCCCGTCCTTGTTTTTATTCGGCCGCGTCCCTCCTCCCTCCTCCTCCTGCATGGTGGCACAATTCGCTCCAACGGCACCCCCGTCTATGTCTTTATCGCCAGCGCAGTCACGCTCTGCCTAGCCGCCGACGCTAACAGAGCATCCCGCTGGCCTCCGATGCCTCGATGCTCGAGCCGCTGACGCCCAGAGCCCTCGACCCGGCTCCACGGGGCGCCTGTCTCTGGCGCGGCGTGGCCGCGTCGGGCTTGGAGTCGGCCCACGGGCGTCAAGAGCAGCGGCAGGAGCCCAGCACCGTCCCTCTGTGGAACACACACACGCGCACGCACGTGCTCGGGGGAAACAGAACACGTGTGCTTCGTGTAATGTTCCACCGACTTTGTAGCTTTCCACGTAGGCGCTTCTCTTCCGCTCGTGGCCAACATGCCCCCGTTTCGGCCTCAACGCAGGAGGGTTGGGAAGAAACCCGCTCGCTCGTGCCCACTCCTCCTCTTCCTCCTCCTCCTCTTATTATTATTCTCCTCCTTTTCCTTTTCCTTTTCCTCCTCCTCCTCCTCCTCCTCTTCCCCTCCCCATCCTCCCCCTCCTCCTCCCACCCCTTACTCCCTCACTCCCTCGCTCGTGCAGTCCCTCTCCCTTCCTCACACCCTCTGTCCTCCGTGTTCTTCCCCATCCTCTGACCCCCCTCCTCTCAAGATCGCCCAGCAGCCAGTGCCCCCAACTTGCACCCGGCACGATCCCCATTAGGAGCTTGTTGCATTTCTATGCTCTGCACTGGTGTGCTATGCTGTGGCGCAGTGGAGCAGTGCACTTCCCTGGCGCAGAGAAGCATAGCATAGCACTGCGACTTCTTACCACAGAGTAGCATGGGCCAGCGCAGCATAGCTAGCATACCATACCATTTGCATAGCATGGCGTGGTATCGCAGAGCATGGCATTGCGGAGTATTTACATAGCAAGGCATGGCACAGCACTACAAACAATTTGCTTAGCGCGAGCTGCAAAGTAGAGCATTGCACAGCATGGCACAGCATAGAGTAGCACAACAAAACATTCAACTGCACACCATGGCACAACCTGTCACGTATTGGCATCACACTTTAGTAGAGCAGAGCACTGGGCACCATACACCGGCATGACATGTTACGTCCGAGCCGTCCGCTTGCACAGCCTAGCATCGAAGATCACAGCATCGCCTAACAGTTGTGCTGTTGCACAGCAAAGCACAATCTATCACAGCATATCAACGGCTCAGCACAACAAAGCAAATCACAATCCTGGTTTGGCAAGGCGAAGCACAGCATAGCATGGCACCCATTGCACCGCACGGTGAAGCATGTCGCTGCGAGGCAGATCATACCATGGCGTAGCGCACGCAATATACCACGTCTTAAAACGATCCTGCCACACAACGGCCATCACAGCTCTGCGTGTACGCAAAGGGCCAGGGCCCAAGTTTCGAGGAACCAGCCGCGCGACCGACGCAACAACCACCAGGTCAGTAGTCGTTACGTCGGCTGTGCGGCCGGGTTCCCAGGCAGAGCTCAAGCGGGGGGGAAGGATACGCAGAAACCTTTCTGGGCCTCCTCCTGCTCATCCTGCCCCTCCTGCGCCCCCCCTCCTCCCTCCTCCCTCCTCCTTCTCCGTCTCCTCCGTCCCCCCCCTCCTCGTCTAGTTCCCCTGGCCTCCTCCTCCTCCTCCTCCTCCTGCTCCTCCTTCTTCACCCCCTCCTGCACCTGTCTCCTCGTGATATAAAACAACTCCCCCGTCGCACCACCAGACGCGTCCGTGGGCCAGGCCAGGCGGCTCGCAAGAGACGTCCTTACCGTCGACCATCCTCAAGTCAAAATCTGCAACGGTTGCACGGATGGAGGTCTGGTTGATTTCAACATGCGGCTCACGCCTTTGCGCAGCGCAGGTTCGTTCTCAAAGCTTTCCACGCTTATAATTGCTCTGGACCGCTGGTGGTCAACATGCAGCTCTCGCATTAGCGCCGGGCGCATTCATCTGAACAGCATGCACCAGATAGAAGGGCGGACATGCTCGTTTTCAAACTGCGGCCCTCGCCTTTGCGCAGCGCGCATTCGTTCTTAAATCTTGCATTCGCTACAAGGATATATGACAGATCACGTTCGCCATGGGGTCCTCGCTTTGAGACCTCCCCAAGTTTATGCAACAGATGATTGGATGGAGGGTCGTTCTATATCAACTTGGACATGCAGCAAAAGATGTGTCAAATATCATACCCAGTAGTGTAATGCAAAGTTTTTGCAGAAATTATAGGGATGGGGGCCGGGTCCTCTTCAAAAGGGATTATCGCCTTGACGGCAGGCCCACATGGTGCTCGTCTTTTGAAAGGGTGCTTCTTGCCTAAAAGCGAGGGGGGGCTCGGGACGGGAGGGTGTATTGCAGCATCCTCCTCCTCCTCCTTCCTCCTCTTTCCCCCTCCTCCTTCTCCTCCTCCTCCTCCTTCTCAATTTCCTCCTCCTCCTCCTCCTCCTCAACCTCCTCCTCAATCTCACCCTTCTTTTCGGAGCACCTTCTAGACCCCACCTGCTAAGCCCACGACCGCAGAGCCACCACCAAAAACAGCCCCGAACAGCGATGCGGCCCCGTCAGCTCTCCGTCCCCCCCGAGTTGTTTCTCTCGCCGCGCGTCGTTGACTGCTGAGCACGGGGGAAGCGGGTCCTGAGGGAAACGGGAGGAGGAGGAGGAAGAGGAGGAGGAGGAGGAGGAGGAGGAGGAGGAACAGGAGGAGGAGGAGGAAGAGGAGGAGGAGGAGGACCAGATCTCCATCCAGGCTCCTGTTCTGATAGCCCCAGAGCCCGTGGAGGGCCCCGGGAAGCCAACAGTGGCGAAACACCTCAGGACCCGTTCCTGTCAGGACCTTTTTCTTCCATGGCGATACACCCTGTGGCATCAACACATTGTCCCCAGTGGCCGGTGTCGTGAAGAAACATGCCGTCCTGCTCTCGTGTTCCGCGGCGCCCGCATGTCTTGCCGCTTCCACTCGAAGCTGATCCCCGAACCATTTTCCACACGCTCCTCCGACCTGTCCTTTGAGCTGCGACCCACACGGCCCAAGAACACCCAAGAACCTCGATCCTCGACCCCCTCCTCCTCCTCCTCCTCCTCCTCCTCCTCATCATCATCATCTTCTTCTTCTTCTTCTTCTTCTTCTTCTTCTTCCCGATGCATTGAGGCCCTAGTCTGAGTGCCACATAACTGCGCTCGTTTGCTCCACTGGGCAAACTCAGTCCAGCACCACGAAGGACTGGCCGAACTCCACGACGATGAACGGAAGGCCCAGCCTCATCCGGGCTGAACAGCAGGCCTCCGAAGGTAGGGGTGCACACAGTCCGCGCAGAAGCAGTCCTCGGCCACGCAACTGACACCAAAACACGTCGTGGCCGACGAAGATGGCGCTCGCGCACCCGTGGCAGATCAAAGGGACAACAACAGGAAGCTCCACCCTGATCAGCTCGTGACCACCGAACAACACCTGCACTGGCCGACCTCGAACTCCTCCTGCATGCCGACCTCGACTTCGACAGCCGACTCCCCACCTTCAAAGCCTTCCACCGTGGGGGGGTGGGACCCCGCGGCAGGATGGTGACCAGCCGTGGACGCCTCCTCCGACAGCATCTCCAAGTTCTCGCAAGCGGCAAAGGGCGATCTCTGCGACCTCCGCCCGCTGTGGGACGAAAACGGGGGCCTCGACGCTGTCGGGGAAAACCGCCGCACGACTGTCACCATCGTCCTCCTGCTTGGTCGCCATCTCCTCGCTGCACACCTGCACCTCGGGGCACCCGTCCAAGAACACGCAGTCCTCAGTCCCCTCCTGCCTCTGAGGAGGAGGAGGAGGAGGAGGAGGAGGAGGAGGAGGAGGATGTCTTCTTCTTCTTCTTCGTCTTCACGTCGGTGCTGGCGCGCCCGCGCGCCTCCGCCCGCGCCCCATGCCTGGGGCCAGCCTGCGCGCGCCGCAACTCTTCCGCCCCGGCGCGAGAGACGCACACTCCCCTGGCGACGGAATACAGTCGGGGGCTTGACCTAAGGAACCCTAAATAAGGAACGAGGCCCCTTTGTTCCATAAATTCTATTTCGAATTCCTATCGAGAACATAGGAAAACCTGATGCAAGTTGTGAAACACTTAAGGAACGCGGAGCCCCTCCCCAACGAAAAGGGTTCCTTCTTCAGGGCCCCGACTGTAGAAGGGAGGTCCGCCCACGAGTGACACCAGGGTCTCCTCCGCAAGCTGCAGCTGCGCCACCGTGCGACCAAGCTCTGCGGTGAGATTCGCCACAACAGGATCAGCGGATTGCCGTGCCAACAGCCTCCTCTCCTTACTCTCGGCGGCTGACCGCCGCGGCTGCGCATCGCCCGCAGCCTCCCGTGCCATCTCAAAGATCTCGTGGTCACCGGCAGCGCCGCCTCCAGACACAGACACCGGCCATGCGCGATGCGGAAATGGCGAAAAGGGGGCCGAAGCCAGTTTGAGCCAAAATGGCTACGGACCTTCTCCTCCTCCTCTTCCTCATCATCCTTCCTACCAGGACCTACGACGACGAACATCGGGCCCCAGGCCCTCCGACCCCTTACCGCGCGAGCTTGGCATCCCGAGGGTTGCTTTCAGGATCGCCCAGGAGCGGCCACTGGAGCCGAACATCGCGAATGGTCTTTTTCTTTGGTCGAACGCTCAAGGAGGGCCAAGATCCAGGGTCGGGATAAAGAAGGGGTTCAGCCTTCCCAGCTCCGTTTCCTTTCCTGCGCACATTCAGACTGGTGGACAGGGAACGGCACGGCCCCTGCGAAAACACTCGGTGCTCCGACGGCTGGAGCGGCCTAGCGAGGCCCCCACGAAGGGGCAAACGGTGATGGTGGGCATGGCACGTTGAGCAGGGACCGACCGTCCTGGCGTTCCTATAGGCCTTCTTCCACGACGAACTATTCTTAGCAATCGTACATGTTCGAAACCAAAAACTGTGTTCTTAGAAAATAGACCCGATGTGCTAAAACAACCACAGTCCCAGCCATGCAAGCTCTAAGAACCGTCCGTGCAAACCACGAGAGTCTCTTAGAACACTCGTCGGTGGGCCCACGGGCAAGCCGAGGCGCCTCGCCACTGCCTGAGCACGCTCCCTGACGAATGGCGTGGCACTCGTGTGGCCGGCGCGGTCTGGCGCGGAGGGGCCCACGGCAGCGGTGGACTGGGAGGAGCGCGACCTGTGACAACCAAGGACAGGGTGCGCCGACGGCTGGCGCCGCCGGGGCCCAAGCCGCACTGGCTGGGCCCGTGGAGCGCGCGAAGGGCACGGCCCCGGGCAGAGCACCCGGTGACCGGAGGGCGCAAGCGCGGCATGGCGCGGCCGGCCCGCAGGGGCACGCCGCACGGGTGGTGCCGGCGGAGCGGGAAGGCCAGGCTCCCTGAGGATCAGGCAGGTGCTCCGATGGCTGTGGCGCGGTCTGGAGCGGCCTCCCTCGGGAGGAGCAAGCGGCACCAGTGGGGCTCGTGGAATCGGAAGGGCAGCATCCCTGATAGATCCAGAAGTGCTCCGATGGCTGGCGCTGTCAGAAGCGGCCTCCCAGAAGGGGCGAACGGTATTGGTGGGACTGGCGCAGTGGGAAGGGCAAGATCCCTGATAAACTTATCCCAGTGCGACCCTACCTAGGAGTTGGAGCCTCTAGGAAAGCAACATTAGTAGGAGCGGTAAACGCCGTCCTCCTCCTTCTCCTCATCGTCGTAGTTGTAGCAGTAGCAGTAGCAGTAGCAGTAGCGGTAGTAGTAGTAGTAGTAGTAGTAGTAGTAGTAGTAGTAGTAGTAGTAGTAGTAGTAGTAGTAGTAGTAGTAGTAGCAGTAGTAGTAGTAGCAGTAGTAGTAATAGTAGTAGTAGTAGTAGTAGTAGTAGTAGTAGTAGTAGTAGTAGTAGTAGTAGTAGTAGTAGTAGTAGTAGTAGTAGTAGTAGTAGTAGTAGTAGTAGTAGTAGTAGTAGTAGTAGTAGTAGGTAGTAGTAGTAGTAGTAGTAGTAGTAGTAGTAGTAGTAGTAGTAGTAGTAGTAGTAGTAGTAGTAGTAGTAGTAGTAGTAGTAGTAGTAGTAGTAGTAGTAGTAGTAGTAGTAGAGTAGTAGTAGTAGAGGTAGTAGTAGTAGTAGTGGTAGTGGTAGTGGTAGTGGTAGTGGGTAGTGGTAGTAGTAGTAGTAGTAGTAGTAGTAGTAGTAGAAGTAGAAGTAGTTCTAGTAGTAGTAGTGGTAGTGGTAGTGGTAGTGGTAGTAGTAGTAGTAGTAGTAGTAGTAGTAGTAGTAGTAGTAGTAGTAGTAGTAGTAGTAGTAGCGGCAGAACCGCCGACGCCACGCAGTAAGTGAACCAGGAGCAGAAGCAGGCAGCAAGTCGCCGAGACAGCAGCAAAAGCAAGCAGGCACGGAGATGAGGTCGGGGCACTAGGGAGTTCTTTACATATACATACATATATATATACACACCTACATCTACATCGACACTTACATATATACTTAGACCTACATCTACATCTACACCGACAGCTACATCTACATCTACACCTGCATCTACATCTACACCTACATCAACAGCGAGACTCACATCTACATCTACACCTACACCTACACCTACATCTACATCTACATCTGCTATATATATAATTAGCAGCAGCAATAGTGGATGCTGTGCTGCGCTATGCTATGCTATGCTATGCCATGCCATGCTTTGCTATGCTCTGCTCTGCTCTGCTCTGCTCTGCTCTGCTCTGCTATGCTATGTTATGCTATGCTCTGCTGCGCAATGCTATGCTGGGCTGGGCTAGGCTAGGCTATGCTATGCTGCGATATGCTATGCTGCGCTATGCAATGCTATGCTATGCTATGCTGTGCTATGACATGCTTTTGATTTGCCTTCGCTTTTTCCTTCACGTTTGCCTTTGTTTTTGCTTTTGCTTGGCACCCAGGGGACGCAACTGGGGGACCCGCGCGTTTGCTTTTACCTTTGCTGTTGCTTCT